AGAGATGATCAACAACCATTAGAGCTCCCTCCTTTCTGCAACATCAGTGACTCTTTTGATTTTAATTAATTGGAGGATTTGGTTGATTAACTGTTTAAGGATAAAAAAAGGTAAAGTTAGGAGGAAGAACTTGTTAGCTTAGCATCATAAAGCCAGAAGAACTGTGTTCTTTCCTTAAAACAGAAATGTAGCAACAGTTTGATGCTTTTTGATTGAAAACAATCTGGAAGTAGACAAACTTTAAAAGTTTCTTGGCATAAACCAAATGTGAACATGAAACAGTGATGACGTGGTGATAAAGACTCACCGCTCACCACTCGAGCTGCTTCAACTGGGACCACCAGCATCGCCATGACGACCACCAGCATCAGCAGCCTCACCGGGATCAGCACCATCGTCCTCCGTGTCTCTGAAGGAAAAATTCAAACAAGAAGAATGAGTCCTCTGTGAAGGTTTGATCTGCTGCTGCACGGTGTTCTGTCAGGGTTCTATCAGGGTTCTGTGCTCAGTTCATGTTGCTGCCGTTTCTCTGTGAGCAGCAGGGAGTGTTTCTGTCCCCTCCCTCCTGATCGATCCAGCCTCAGCTGTAACCTCCTCCTTCATTAAGCCCTGGGGGGCCACACACTTTAATTTACTTACACAGACCGACAGCCGATTGGCTCCCGCAGAGCAGCTGATCAATAGAGGATATCTGCAGTTATGAGCAACACTTCATGCTGCCTCTGTATTGATCGTCTGTATGATTCACACACAACACTGTGCTTTACAGAACTGCTCTGATGGGCGGACAGTATTCCTTTGGCTCCTCAGGGTCAGCTCTGTGTTGTAGATCAGGGTTGTCCAACTCATGTTCGTCTCGGGCCACATCGAAGTCGGGTTGTAACTCTAAGACTGTATAAATGTAACGACTCCCGAACATATTGTTCAATAATTGTCTCTGCATTTAATTGTTATTTATTCTATGTACAAATACTGTGCATGCCTTTACATAAGTAAAATATATGCAGGCACGTTGCTATGTTATTATGACGATATATTACATTATATTGTGTATATCCCGTTAATTTGTCCAATTAGGAAACTCACATTTCTCACAGGCCACATAAAATGAGGTGGCAGGCTGGATTTGGCCTTGAGTTTGACATGTGTTCTACATGATAAATGCTGAGAAACTGCATCATCCAGGCTGCAGAAGCTGCCTGAGAGTCTGTCTGATTTCACTTTCCTTCAGTATCAGTCAGTGATGTTTGTCTGTAAATCCGTGATGCACTGGGTTAGGAGCTTACAGACTGCTCTGCTACGCTAGTTGAAAATGTTCCCTTGCTTCCAGTCTTTACAATTTGTCTTGTTTCCAGATTTTGTGCTAATCTGGGCTAACAGTGTCCCTCTGCTTCTGGTCTCTGTGCTAAGCTAGGCTAACAGTTTCCCTCTGTTTCCAAATTTTGTGCTAAGCTAGGCTCTCCATATAATATACAGTGAAGCTCTGTCCACCATCCGTCCATGTGTCCATCTGTGTCATCTGTGTTTCATACGAGTGAGCTGAATGTCTTTGCTTTCAAATGGAGACATATTTTTATGTCCTTGTCTTTGTTCTGTCGGTGAAGACACGCTCCACCGTCTAAATAATGAGGAACATCCTGATGAAAACGTGGATTCTGCAGAATCACAGTCAGTGAAGTGATGAAGTGCTGAAGTGAGTTCCAGGATCTGATTATTAGATCAGTTTACTGACACACTTAGACGGTGAAACTCAACCTGCAGCTGAAATATGACTCATAATTCAGTTTAACCGAATCTCACTGTTGGAGGCGGGTGGAGCTAAAGACAAAGGTGGAGTTAAAGGTGGAGGTGAAGATAAAGCTGGAGGTAAAGGTGGAGTTAAAGGTGGAGGT